ATCTGGGGGAGGAGGCACGGAGGCTGGGGGACAGCAAAGGCTGGTCTTGAGAAATCTCAGTGGAAGGCACCGGGCCATTCCCAGAGGTCTGCACAGCAAAGCCAAAGGCATGGTGGCAGGAGAGGAGGCCACGCTCTGAGGAAGGCCCCGCAGCCCAGCGTCAGGGAGGGTAATGGGGAGAGGAAGGAGAATGGTGTTGCCAAACCTGGGCCAGGCTGCGAAGTCTGGAGGAAGCTACCTTGCTTTATAAAAACGGGGAGCCATTGAAGGCCTTTGAGCAGAGGTGGATCCTATGGAAGTTTTACAAAGGCAGCTCTGTAGGGAGAGAAATATCCTGGAAATGTACACGAAACCTGGAATGACAGCGTCAGGATGTATTGCATGAACTTTTACATAGCTTCCTTTTTAAAAAAAATGGTTGTGTGTGTGTGTGTGTGTGTGTGTGTGTGTGTGTTTGCCATGTACAGGTATGACTATTCTAACAAAAGAAGGGAGGACATTTTCAAAAGACAGAGGGGAGCCAGGAAGCAAAGAGACACAGGCAGCAGAAGGGAGCCAGGAGCTGGCGGGCCAGGCTGCCCCTCTCACTGCGGCTCTGGCTGTTTGGGTGATGGGCCATCTGGCAGGTCTACATGGAGCCCAGCAGGCAGGGCCGTGGGGCCTCTGAGATCCCTCTCTTACCTAGAGCCTGAGCCTTGCCTGACCCATGACAGTTTCAGGCTGTTCCTCCTCCTCCCGGCAGTCTGTCGCTACCAAACTCCTCCCCATGGGTTAGACTGTGGGACACAGACTGATCCTTAAATCCCATTCTGGGCCAAATGGGGACAGTGATTCCAGAGGCCTCCCTATGTCCTTGAGGACAGATCACCCTATGAAAGAGCCCCAGCCACCGTGCTAGGTGCTGTATGGGCAGTGTCTCTTGATCTGAATATAAACCTGAAAAAAAAAAAAGTTATTTTCCCAGTTTTGCAGATCAGGAAATAGAGGCCCTCACAGTGAGGAGGGAGGGGGATTCTCACCCAGGATGGACCCACCCAGGGGTGCGGACCGGACCACTAGGCTGTACTGCCTCAGGCCCTTTAGGAGAAAATCCATCCTCCCAGTCTCCCCAGGTCTCTTGCCTTTGGCCTGCTCTGGTTCCTGTTATAGAATGGGGGCTGCAGGTGGGCGCGCCTCTGAGCTAGTCCCCCGTCCTTGGGCCGCCTCTCCTAGGCAAACTCCTATTTAACCGGTGAAGGTAAATAAATTATTGCTTCCTCTCCCAAGTCCTCTGGCTGCACCCCTGTCCTCTTCTCTGTGTTCCTGTGGAGCTCCCAAAGGGAGGGGAGAAAAGGCTCAGGGGACATGGCTGGGACACGACTTCCAGCCCAGCCCTGTGTGGGCAGAGACGAGGGAACAGTCCGCCTATTCTCGGCTGGACGTGAGAGGGAGGATGGCCTTGGCTCAACCCAGGGCAAGGCAGGCTGACCAGCCTCTGGGGTTATTTAGATTGGCGGCCAGAGAAGGACAAGTTGCAGGAGAGAGAAGCAAAGATTCAGGCTGCCTAGTGTGGCCACCGCCCCGTCAACCCTAAGATGATCGCAGCCCCTTTCTGGCCACCGAATGTGGGCACCCCAGACCTCTGCGGCAAGGCTGGGTGAGAGCTATCTTTTGTGCACAGGTGCCCCTAGTCCCCCACCCCTAGTGAGCATTCACACACAGAGGTGAACAGCCCCCTTGTGGGCCTGGAGGCGCCTAGAACAGGTAGAGATGACCAGAGTGGGAAGCAGAGAATCCCCAGTGCCTAGCACAGTGACTGGCACTGAAGGATTTGTTGGATGAATGAATGAATGATTGCCTGACCTCAGGCCCAGGGAGCAAGGTGTGGTGTGCAGGGTGGCTCCTGGGAGGCTTCAGGGATGGGGAGGGGACGGAGGGGGACTGGGAAAGCCACAAGAAGGCAGCCCTATCCGATGACTCACTTGGGAGGGAAACAGAAGGTGGACTGTTCTGGGGAAACATCCCCGCTGATGCCCGGGCACCCAGGAGCTTCCAGGTACCCCCAGATCACCCCAGTGAGGACACTCCACAATTCCCCAGGAGGCACCACAGTGGGGCTGTTAAACCCAGGGACTTAGGATTCAGACACTTCTGGGCTCCAGTTCACCCCTCATTGGCTGGACCAGTTGCCTCAGTTTCCCCATCTGCACGGGGCACGGATAGGACCACGTGCTGCACAGGTTTGCTGGGAAGGACACATAAGAGGTGCCCGCTCAGCACATCCTGTCTGCCATTGTTACAAACAACAGCACGGGAGAGCGGGGAGCAGAGCCTGCCAAACGCAGGACCCTGGTCTCCCGCTCCCCTGTGCTGCTGACCTATGGGGTGGCTTTGGACAAGGCCCAGCCTCTCTCCAAGCCTTAGTTTCCCCATTTGTACAGTCAGGCCCTGCTAACTTGGACAGGCTTTGGCCCTTCTCCAAGCCCCACAGAGACATCAGAGACGTGCACACACGGCCCTGGGACTGCCGACAGACACACAGGCACGCATAGGCACGTACGCACAGGCACACAGACGTAGGCACAGACTCACACTCGGCCCCCACCCTGCGCCCTCCCCACTCACACTCGCTCACACTCATGCTCACACACCACCCCGCTCCCCGAAATCTGCTGAGCACCAATGGTTGGTGCGAGCGGGGTTGGGAACGGGAAGAAAAAAGCCCAAGACTCAGCCCAGGAAGAGGGGTGCGGTGGGGGGAGGGCGGGCGAGGGAAATGACAGCCCGCGGTCCCCCTCGAGTCCTGGCTCATGAATATTAATGCGGCGGTAATTAAAATGCAGGCACGCAGCAGGATGGATGCGGCTGCCTCCGGAGCGCGGGGGAGCGCGGCGTCTTTGCAGGCGGGTGGAGCCGGCTCCTC